ATGGCCATGCTACAATCCCTTCTCCTCCATTCTCTCAGGATCTTGGGCATGTATGCACATGCGCCCGGCATGAGTTCAAGCCACTGTATCTGGGACTTGAACCACAATCGACTACATGGGAGTCCAGCAACATAGCCATTAAACTATATGCTGGTCCCTGTAACTTGTAACTGTTGATTTCAGAGTTACATTTGCTGTTTATGGCAAAATGCATTTGAACATAGAATTGTAATTTTAAAAGCATACGAAAACTTACACTGTACGTCAGTGGTCTCCAACCCCTGAGGTGCAGCCCAGTGCTAGTAAATGACTTCTGCCCCATTCCTTGCCCCCTGGCCATGCAGCAGTAGGTAAGCAGCAGGAAAATACACAAAATTTCTTCTGTGTTTGCAGCCACTCCCCTTCACTGACATTGCCATGTGAACTCTGTCACTTGTCGAATCATTAGTGGTATTGGATTCTTATGGGAGTGTGAACCTTATGTTTGTGTGATTGTTTCATTGTGTATTACAATGTGATAGTGGTAGACATGGGGTGCACAGTGAATGTGGTGTGCTTGGGTCATCCTGGCACCAGTAACCACCCTCACTCTCGTGTGTGGAAGGTTTGTCTTCCAAGAGGCTCGTTCCTGGTGCTGAGAAGATTTAGGATCACTGTTATACTGGCATTTTCATATTTTTACTTTTTTAACAATTCTGTAATGATGGTATTATTATTATCTTTTTATTATAGGGGAACAAAATCAAGTTTGTAAAGGTTTCATGTAATGTCCAGAGTAACATGTTTAGAAGTAGAGATTCTAAGATAATAAAAACAAGGAATAGGTCACTTAATTTCTTTTAACAAAGTATTGATCAAAACAAAGCCTTGTTTAATTGGTTATGGTGAAAAGTATTGTTTAGGTTTAGATAAAGCATAATGGTAAAGATTAAAGAAGACATTTAAGTAAAATTACATGGAAACCATATTTTATTTTCTTTTAAAACATGATTTTGGGGACCAGCAGTTAGCATAATGGCTATGTCGCTAGACTCTCATGTAGTCGACCGCGGTTTGAGTCCCGGACCTGGTGGCTTAAACTCACGCTGTGCACGTGTGCATGCGTGCCCAAGATCCCAAGAGGAGAATGGAGGAGAAGGGATTGTGGCATGGCCATCCCCCCGGGGGTTGATTTCTCGCTCTCTGTCTCTCTGTCTCTCTGGTGAGTGCACGTGCCCTATAGCAAAATCCTCTCTTAAAAAAAAGATTTTGTAAATTTATTTTATTTCTTTTATGAGAAGAGAGAGCATGTGCAAGAGAAAGAGAGAGAAATGTGCATTTGAAAGATCTCTTTACTCTGTGAACTCCTCTCTCCAGCCCTGCCCTCCAGCTAGTCAGAATCTCAACTGTGCTCAAGCATGGCATGTTTCAGGTGGACTTGTGATCCAAAGCCACAGTTAGCCATGTGGCTTCCTGTACTATAGATCAGTATGCCAACACCACTGCCTCCTGCATCACTGCAGCTGGGCTGACTTTCATTTTTATTTTAAAAATTTGGAAAACTAATTATTTGTACAGCTTCAAACAAAGTTGGAATTTTATAGAGTTAACAATATTATAACCACATGTGTTAATATGCTTCTAATATTCCATGTGTTTTTCCATTTATGCTTAAATGTTTTGGCAGACAGACATCCACAGACATAGATATGACACACATTAAAAAACACAGCTTCTAATTTAAAACAAACTCAAACTATAAAATGTGCCTTTACATAAAAAATGAATTTATATGCTTTAAAAACCCTTCTTTTAATATTTTTAAAATGTAGGGTTTGAGCTTGAATGTTGCTTTAAGAAAAGTACTCATGTTATTACAAAAATAGAACTTGTGCCTGTGATGTTGCAGTTGCCATGGTTACTACAAATTTGTTACTTAATAGCAGAGCAAATAGATTCATAAACATGCTAATTATATCTGATACATTTTCCAAACTGTTTTATATGAATATGCATATAGTTTGCATAAAAATGAATGTCCTCATCCAATAATTTTGCAAGTTTGAGAAGGGCTTGCTGTGTTCTCTATGATGTAGTATATGACCATCTTGACACAGGAAAAAAATTTTTCAAGCAAATAATTTTATGACTTACAGGTAGGCAACTGTTACGATTAATATAAATAATGGAATAATTTTCAAATGCTTAGTACTTTAATATCCAGTCAGTCTTTGAGAAGGTTAAAATTTGGGATTTATAATAAAACTCTTTTTGTTCTGACATTCTGTTTAAATAAATATTAAGAAAGAGGCAGGTATGACAAAGAAATGAATATGCTTTTTTTTTTTACATGAACCCGCATGCTGTAAAATTTGTATGTTAAGATGAAAATGATTCTGTAACTAAAATATTTTCCTCTCTGTACCTTAAGTACAGTCACCTGTTAGTTTATCAATAGGGATATATTGAGAAGCAAGTTGTTAGACAATGTTGTCATTGTGTGAACATGATAGACTGTACTCATGCAAACCTATTTTGTATAGATTGCTATACACCTGGGTTCTATGGTCTAAACTTAGAAGGCCACTCCATTTATACAGTCCATCATTGATCCAAATATCCTTCCTCAGTGAGTGACTGTATTGTACTTGAGAAAGTTGAATGCATACTGAACATTGCAAAAACTCCATGAACTTGTTGTATCTTTTTCTAAAAAGCAAAGCCACCAACATAATGAGCAGGAAGGAAAAGTCACATACAGTTACAAAACCATGAGTAGGGGGAAAGTTGGCCCAAATTACCCATCAAATGAGCCTATGATATAACTCAAAACAGACACAGGAAAGAGGGTATGACCTTGCCTGAGAAAGAGGATTTGCTTGGGAGATTTGTGACTTCAGTTAGGGCCTTGTGTAGCTCTCTGATGAAAGAGTGGGAATATATGTGTCTCTACAGAGTTCTACCAAGGAGGGGTCTTTGCCCTAATGTTGTGACTAAGGATGTTACCACTTTCTCCTTAAAACAATGACACTCCTTTTTATGTCTTTTGATGAGACTGTCGGTAAGAATTCTAGCTAGATCCTGAGAAACAAGAGGATATTTAGCAACTTGCATGAGATTAGCAGTCGGCCCCTTATTTATGTAGGCTATGATTTTACTTTCACAACCAAAGTACATAGAAGTCGGTTGCTATATTTCAGATGTGTAAGCATGTCAGGGATACTGACTGAGAAATCTGCTCTGTAGCTCACTGTCACCTAGTGATTGATATCAGCTGTAACAAGATAAAATGTTATGGCATCATAATTCTGTTTGATGCAAGGTAATCTTTGATCTTTTACTATCAATAGAAGATTATAATATATACTTAGTGTGATAAATAATACCCTTTCACCGATGTCAGAGAAAGAGCAAGTTAAATTGTTAAGGTTTCCAATAGCTAACATTTTATTTGCATTTTCCTAAAGACTGAACACCTTATAGACTAGACTCCTAAAATGTATTATTGTTAAATTATTCCAACTTCTATTTGCTAATAGTTAATTATTAATTATTCTGTCTTCAAAACTAACCAAAGGGTGCATTTTAAAAACTATTAAATGCATAGCCTTGGGGTAAATTTTCATTGGAGGGTATTATGGCACCAAGGAGCCAATTAGAGACATTAATTTGCCAAAAGATCATGTAAATTTAGAAAAATCAGGAATTGACTGTTTGGTATGTGAAATATCCTAAATAGTTTGAAAAATAACTTCCCTCTCTTTTAGAATATAGAGTCTAAACTCCTTCCACACCATATAGCACATGCATGTAGACATGAGCTCTTAATATTACCTTTAATCATTATTAATTGAAGTTCTTTACGTAATTTATGATCTTATGGTTTTTATTAGGTGTCCTTGTCTTCCTAGAAAAAGTCCCAGCCTTCAATATTTAGTTCAAATGCATCTGATTCCTTTGTGAGGCCATTCCTGAGTCTTTCTCTGTCCTTCAGAGAAGGTAGTTGCTCTCCTTTCTGCTCCCGTGGGACTCTGACCATGGTACCATTATTGCTGTTTCTCCTTGCCTTATGATGGCTTGTTTATGACCTCCAGGAGACTGTGGTCTTCTTGGGCTGGGGACCAGGTTTTGATCATCCATACCTTTTGTGTTCACTAAATACTCACTGAATGTTTATTGGCTCAGTTTCTGAACACGGGAATGAGGAGGCCACATGGTATGAAAAGTAGAGCTGAGAAAAGGAAATGGAAATATGATCATCTAATGAAAGGAAGCACCGAGTCTAGTTCTGGGGTTGATCACTTCCATCTCAAACCTTACGGCTTCATGAACATACTGCCAACTGGCAATCATTGCACTGGTTTGAGGATTTTCTACGCCCCTTAACTGTTCCTTTTCTCTGGGTAGTGACCATTTGTAAAGATCCTTCAGTGGAATTCTCTGATCTGATTCTCACACTGTCCTTGACAAACTGGTCAGGTATCATCGTTCCATTTTTAAAGAGCAGGACACTGCAGCTCAGAGGGGTTAATGGTTTGTCCAGAGTCACACAGCTAAGAAATAGATTGTAAACACAGGATATCTGACTCTAGATACAGGGCACTTTGACTGATGCCACAGCCTATCCTGAGGCTAATTAGAAATACTTGGCTTATTCAGGAATTGTCTATATTTTAAGTTCTCGATTAGTGTTTGGACAGCTACAGAATAAGGAGATTCAGTGATGTTTATGGCACAAATGAATATTGGCTAACACAGATCATTTTTAGTTCTTGTTATCTGAAATGATATGAGTACATTAAAAAACAGGAATTCTGAATTCTTGGGGCAACACTTCCAGTCTGTTTCTGTACATTCCTCTAGTTAAAATTTATTTACGAGCTGAAAGAATTTTAGAAATAATTTTCTCTCAAATAGAGATAAGTTGAAAGGATTCTCCAAGCTCATCTTCAGTGTTAGTTTTGTACGTATGGGCCATTACTATTTGTCTGATCTTTCTGTATTTGTTCCACTTGCAAAAGGAAAGTATCTCCCAGAATAGTTGCTTCCCTGAGACATTTTGCAGAAACATTGTTCTGAGAAGCATACGAGGTGTCATCTTTCTGTAGCAGGTAAGAATCTGGATTTTTTTCTACAGTTGCTGAGCAGTACTCTAAAACTAAAGCTTCAATTAATTTCGATCTACAAATGCTGTTGGTTATAGTAACTTAGAATTGTATACTTTATAGCTGGTCAACTTAAAAAACTGTCTGGTGAAACTTTATCTGTTTATCCAAGGAGAAATTGTAGCCTAGAGAGGTTAAAATTTTCATCCAATGTTACATGGTTAATCTATGGTACAACTAGGACTTGGGCCTAGATTATCTTTTTCCTATTCAATGTTCTTTTACTAAAAAATCATGCATCTATTGCAATATAACAAATGATACTCTGTATGATAGTAGGTTGGGGAAGCTGCAGCTATGTCTGTGAGGCTGTGCTAATGATTCTGTCACAGAAAGATAATTTCCATATTTCTTAGAAATGGCCTCTTTATTGATATGTGTAAAAACCATGTTCCAAATACCTGCCCGGTAACTAAATTATTAACTATACAAGGGGACTTCAAAATGAACTTAAAAGATAAAAAAGTAAGCTTTATTCCTCAAAATAAGTTTCACCAAGTTCAAGATACTTTTATAAATGATGATACCAGATGTTCAGTCCATCCTTAAAGAACCAAGAGTCCTCTGAGGACCCTAGGAATTTAACCATGTCAATGCAGTCTTAGTTACATTATTAACTAAAGAAATACAGATGCAGGTGTGTCCTGACACGTTCAGTGACCAAGATCTTGGGCACGCACGCACACGTGCCCAGTGTGAGTTTAAGCCACTGGGTCCAGGACTTGAACTGCAGTCAATTACATGGGAGTCCAGCGACATAGCCATTTCACTATCTGCTGGTCCCATACATGATCTTACTGTTGCAGAAACATTCTTTAACCAATAAGTCAAAAGTAAATACCCCACCAAATGACTAAAATTAAGAGAAGATAGACTGAAGACTGAGCAGCAGGGAGAAGTACAGAGCTGCAGAGAGAGCAAGTCTCATCTCCTCCCACACACCTCTGAATTCTCAGTTGAAATCCCACAGCTCAGCCCAGGTATACCTATTCCCTACAAACTGTGAGGACTTTATAATATCCAGTTCCAAAGCCAAAAGCACATATAACTTGATGAGGATCAGGGAAACAGAACTGCAGAGTGGCTTAAACTCACACTGGGCACGTGTGCGTGCATGCCCAAGATCTTGGTCACTGAACATGTCAGGACACACCTGCACCCCTTGTGGATCACTTCCTCCTGCACACTTCTGAACACTCATAATTAACTCCAAGAAATTAGGAAGAAATATATAATCCATCAAATGACTAGAAACCACCACAGAGGCACAAGAAATATGAAAAACCAAGAAAATATCTCTCCCCCATGGGAAAAGAACAACTCTTTATCACCCACAGACAGTACAGTGGAACTAGTGGAAATGTCCAATAAAGAAATCAGAATATTAATAGTGACAAAACTAAAAAAGATGCCAGAGATGAGAGACAATGAACTCCAGAAGGTTCAAGAGAAAAGAGATGAGTTCCAGGAGGTGAGGAAGTGCTTCCACAAATTGAAAGAAGAAATATACTCTATAAAAATGTATCAAAGGGAGCTGTTAAAAGATGAAGGCTGCAATACAGGAAATCAAAACTTCCCTCAAAAGTATTAAAAGCAGATTAGACCATGCAGGAGATCAAATCTTGGAAGTTGAAGACAAAACCTCTGACTTAGAAAAAAATCACCAAAAAGACAGAGAAAATGGGGGCCAGCAGGCGGCATGGTGGTTAAGGACACTGGACTCCCACATGACTGACCATGGTTCAAGTCTTGGACCTGGGGGCTTGCTTTCTCACTTTCTCTCTCTCTCTCTCTCTCTCTCTCTCTCTCTCTGTCCCTCTCTGGCCAAATTAGACTAAATGAATATAAATATATTAAAAAAAAGACTGAGAATATAACTTCCCAAATTGAGCATAATATATGATAAATACTAGATACTTCCCAAACCTAGAGAGGCACCTAAATATCCAGACCCAAGAAATACAAAGGAGAGAATAAAACCAACTCAAGAAGATCTTCTTCAAGGCACATCATAGCCAGATTGGCCAAATCTACAGACAAAGACTAGATGCTAAAATTGGCAATAGAGAAATGTCAGGTTACTTACAAAGGTTATCCCATCAGGCTAACTTCAGACTTCTCATCAGAAACAATGCAAGCAAGGAAATAATGGGAATATATATTCAAAGTGTTAAATGGAAAAAAAATTTCAACCATGAATACTATACCTGGCAACATTATCCTTCATAAGGGAAGAAGAGGTAAAAACATTCTTAGGTAAACAAAACCTGAAAGAACTTACTGACACCAAACCAGCTCTTGAAGAAGTTCTAAAGGGAGTGCTTTACCAGGAAAACTAAAGATACACAGATAGAAATATGGGAACAAAAAACAACCAAGAAAATAACCAACTTAATGGTAGGTACAAGTCTGGAAATATCAATAATTACAAATGTTAACTTCGAGGATTTAAACAGAAAGATCGGACCATAGTAACACTGCAAATTTAACAGATGAGAGATTAATTACATGAGACTGAACTAGTGAAATTAAATGTTATGACTTTTGATGAAAACATTACTGATTTTTTTGGCTATACTTTGTTGTCTAGAATTAAGGATTTTGCTTTCTTATGATTGTTTATAGGTTCAGCAATTTGTTAAAATGTTTGTTTGTTTTAAATTGAAACATAAACTTTTCTCTCTTCCTGACCGCTCTGGAATTGGAAAGTATTTGTGAGTATTCTTATTGTGGCAGAAGAATTATTTGCAAAAGTTCAGTAATACCTGTTCCCTTGCATGAGAAATGGGAAATACTGGTTATTGCCAGGGCTTTGACTGGAATGTCATATCTGAAGATATAACCAGAAAACTATAGAACTAAGGGAGCTCTCAAGAAAACCAGCAGAAGCTCTTGGAAAGATTGCCTGGCACCATAAACAGTTCTGCCTGGCTGAACAAGCAAAATACCTTGAGCATCCTAAAAAACTGTTGCCATGACCTTTGCTCTTAGCCAGTCCACTTCTGCTTGGACTGGACCACCTCTGGTAGCCATTGTTTTCATTGTGCTTTGTCTTCAGGATCATGCAGATACGCCATATTTCATCTGTTGTTACAATGCTTTGAATAAAGGCCCCAGGTTCTTTATCCTCCTTTTTAACAATTTCCATTGAAAACTCTACTCTTCTTCATACCTTCTTCATGCAACAATTTTGTCACCCACTGAAGAAAAAGTGGTACAAGTCAATGAGATACTGACAGTTTTATAAATACATATGTACCTGTTTCTATCAGAAAGAGGTTGAGGGCAAACTTGGCTTTCTTGTGCCTGTGATTTGGTTTCTGTTAAATGATGAGCTATAATCGATTTGTGTGTCAACTAGGAAACCTCAGACTGTTTTCAGCTATTTCGCCTGCAATTCAATAAGTAGCAATATTCACAAAGAGCATTATCAGCCCTTTTCTAAATAATCAATCATAAACTAAAGAGAAAAAGACTGTTTTTAATGGAATATTGAAAAAAGAGGAAGTGACTAAATTACTTGGGTTAGGGGGAGTAAGCTTAGTAACTGTAGAGCTGTCTTGTAATGGATCCAACTTTCTTAGGACTTTGTTATATAACCTTATACTGTTAAAGGTGCCAGGGCAGAAAGCAGAGTAGGTGGTTAGGGACAAACACTCAAACCCATTGTGGTTCGGTTATTTCATAGACTATGTGTTATTTAATCTTTGTAATGATTCTATTAAATTGTACTCATTTTGCAAATTGGAAAACTGAAGTTTGGGGAAGATTAGTAATTTAGCTAAATTCATCCAGACAGAAAATAACAAAGGTGGGATAAGAATACAGATAGACTTGACAAAGACTATTTTCTTCTGTTACACACATTCTTTTGTTTCGGGAATATTAGTATTAATACTTAATTTTTTCCAGTGTTTATAAAAGGTCATAAATAAGCACAATAAGCTGTAATTTACAAATAAGCACAAAGAAGATAGAGCACATTGTGATTGATAATTGTTCTACCAGAAACATTTGTCCATATGTATTGTCTAAAGGAGCTATGGAAATATCTTGCTACTCTTTTCAGGGTGAGTACAACTTGGGCCAACTTATTTCACTATTTTAGAGTAACTACTGGTAGGAGTGTGGATTGATAATGAACATTAATGGACAAATTTTGTTACAGTAAATCTTGAATCTAGTCTTAAAAATATTAACTTAGAAGGCCCAGGGGTCCATGGTGAGGAACAAACTAATTCGATAAAAGCCAAATCTAAGATGCATTCCCCCCCCACATTACAAAATCTTTAAAATCAGAATTCTTCTTATGACCAATAATAGGACAACATGTTAGAGGCTGGCACTGTGACCTGGTGGTTAAGGAAAGTAAGATTCATGTGACTGACCAGGGTTCAAATCCTTATCCCAGTGGCTTGAGAACCATGTCTGGCATGAGTTTGTGCATACTTAAATTCCTGACAGGGTAGAGAAATAGAAGAAGGGATTGAAGCATGACCAAACACCATTGGGGAGGTGCTTTCTCCTGCTCTCTTTCTTTTTGTCTTTTTCTGGCTAATACATGTATGCTCTCTATCAATTAAGCCAAAGGAAAAAAAAAAGAAGTAAAGTCTCTTGTCATATTTTAATTTTTTGATCTGTAATAAATTCAAAATAAAAATGACAGGCTTAAAACAGTGGCATCATGATTTTCTCTTGCAGGTGAGAAAACTGAGGCACACACTTTTTTTTAAAGGAATTCTTTATTAAATTTTATTAGTTTCTAGTCAAATCCTACACTACCTTCCCCTATTATAGTCCACTTTTCTCAAGTCAGCACAACAGTGGATGAACCTCTCTGTACACTTTTTTTCAGGTACAGAGGAAAACATTACATCTGGACAGATTCATGGCCACCAACTTCAACTGGACTCTTAACATGTTAGAGCTATCTGTTCTTTTCTCTTTTCAACTCTTCTCCCATTGTTCATATCAACTTTTTCAAGAATCTTCACCTGCTTCAAATCTTTCTCTTTATTTTTCTCTAATTCAAATTTCCCTAAATATCAAATTTTATATCAAGTTATAATTTATCCAACATGTTAAAGTGTCATTTTAATAATAATGCAGAAAAATATTATGTTCATTTACTATCGTAGAATCGATAAAAATCAGAGGCAATGTAACATAGGTAGTTGTAGGAATCCAGGCTTTCAATTAGTTTCCTGATTGTCAGAAATGATCTGTTTCCCATGATCTCAAAAAGTGCCATGTGTACATGCACACACACCACACACACACACACACACACACACACACACACACAAATACACAGATATCTGACATTTTGCTATCTCTTCATTAACCGATAGTTAATTCACATGATTTGAAATAAAAATCACAACACTTTCCTCCTTATTCACCCCATTTCTTTCCACCCAGTTTTCATGGGCACCCTTCAGGTGTTTCTTTGTGCAAATATATTAGTATATTAGTATAAATTAGTATATATTAGTATATTAGTATAAATATGTGGGGGCTGACCTATAGGCAGTGTGCATAGAAGTGGGATCCCATGCAGCAACCACAACTCAATTATTAGCTCTGGTGGCTTAAACATGCCAAGTACATATGCATGCATGCCCCAAATCCTGATAGAATGGAGAAATGGAGAAAAAAAGGATTGAGTTTTTAACTTAAAATATATTTTGGAGTTCCTTCTGTGTTGGCATACAGGGACTGTCATTCCTGTTTTGTTTGCTTTTCTAGTAGTTGAGTAATGTGGTGTTGCATGTATGTACTGTAGTTTATGCCTAACAGTTCTCTATTGAAGGACTCATGGTCTGTATCCAACGTTTTTGCTAATACGAGCAATGTTGCGATGATGTCCTAGAATATTTATCATTCCACTCATATGAAAATGCAGCTGAGTCGATTCTCAGAAGTGGGCTGAAGAAATTGTTAGTCATTTTGATGGATATTGCCAAATTTCCCTCCATAGGGTGTATATCACTTCGTATTTCCAGCAACCGTTGATGAGATTGACTCTTTTCTTCTAGCTTTGGACAACAGGGTATATTACCATGCTTTTGGATTTTGTCTACATAATAGGTGAGAAATTCTCACGTTTAAAACTGTATTCTCGTTACTGAGAACTATGCACATTCTTTGCCCAATCTCTTACTGCATTGCTAGTGTTTTTCTTTTCCGCATTTTGAAACTCTTTACTTATTTAGAAGTTTAGTCCTATGTTCTGACATCAGTTGACATTTCATACCATTTTGTCTTTAATTTTTGGCATTTAGTTTTTATGCTTTTTGCCTTTTTTTTTAAAAAAAGCATGTAGTATAACTTACCTATATATATGTTTTTCCTGGTTTCTGGATTTTTGAATCACTATTAGAGAAAATTTACTGCTCCTGGGTTGTACAGAAATATGTCCATAATTTTCCTAGTACTTTTTCTAATTTACTTTGACATTTACATCTTTGATCCATTTAAATTTACCTAATAAGGATGAAATTTTTTTATGCTTGTCTATTCAATATACTACCACTTATTAAAAATCTTACCCTGTATCACTGATTTGAGGTGGAAACTTATGTAATAAATTGACATTTCCATTTGATTCTACTGTTTATTTTGTTTCATTTCTCTGTTTATTCATGTGCCAATATTTCACTGTTGTAGTTGTTAGAGCTGCACTATCTGATATGAGAGTCTATAAATCATCTGAAATGTGGTCAGTAAGAAATGAGATGTGCAATAATTGAAAAAATACACACTGAATTTTAAAGACCCACTTTAAATGAATTTTAAATGTCTCATTAATTGCTTTCATATTGATTACATTGTGAAATGATAATATTTTGGATCAATAGACTTAAATATATTTTGTAATTAATTTTACCTATTTCTTTTAACATTTTAAGTTGTATTACTAAGTGTTTTTAAATTATATATGTGGCTTTCATTATATTGTTATTAGCATTGTTTTTGTGTATGTTCAAACCTGATAGCATCATTTCTACCTTACTGCTCTTTTGGAAGGTTGTCATGGTTATTTATCCTTGTTTACTTTTCCCATATAAACTTAGAATTAGCTTGTATATTTCTGCAGCAAATCTATTGATATTTTTATTGGAATTGTGATTAATTTATAAATTAACTTAGAGACAGTTACTATTTTCATGATACCAAGTATTTCTATCCAACAACGTAATATGTCTTTCTGTTTATTCATTTTCTTAGATATACTTGAAGAGTATTTTAAAGTTTCACTTAGATAAGTTTGAAATATTTTTGTTCAATTTACTCTAAGATATCTTTCTGTGGCTATTATAAATGTATCTTCTTTTTATCTTCTCACTTGTTATTTCTACATACGCTACTAATTTCCATAAGTTAACTGTATTTCTTGCTATTTTAACAACTCTTGCTTTTGCCGTGTTTTTCCCCATTTTATTTTTTAGTAATTTCCAGGGATAAAATCACTTATCTAAAAATAGGGAGAGTTTTGCCATCATCTTTTGTGTTACATCTCTAAGTTGTTTGTTTGTTTGTTTTTCTCTCTCCATGTTTTCTTTCATTAAATAGCACTGGTGAGTATGACTATTTTTTCCTTGTTTGAATTTCAGCAGATGTGTCTATTAGGTGGGATGCCAGTTAGGGGGTGATTTCTCTCTGTGTGTCTCTGTCTCTATCTCTCTCACAACCCCCACACACAACACCTTAAAGATTAAGGCAGTATCCATACATTCTTTCTTAGGTGAACATTTACGAAAGTCTACAAAGGATGCTTACTTTGTTTATCTGTCTTTTCAGATCTATGGAATGACTTTGTAATTCTCCTCCTCTACCTATCAATTGGACAAATTATATTAATACCTATATAACGTTCCTTATGTGATGTACTGTACTTCTAGAGCACTTCTTGATTCTGTTTTTTGACATATTACTTAGGATATATGTACTGATATTCAAAGTGAGATCTGTCTGTAGATGTTTCTGAATCAGTTATTTCCAGCCTACCAGTTTTGAGAAGGGACATCTATTTAAACGTAATTAGCTCCAGTTCTGTTCTTGTTCTCATTCTCTCTTAGAGAGTACATGCTGTCCCCTGAAAGAGAGAGAGAAAGGGAGAAAGTGAGAAAGCACCTCCCACAGAGGCTGGTCATACTGCTGTCCCTTCTTTGTTTCTGCTTCCTTTCTGGATTTTGGGCCTGCATGCACACCTGCCCAGCAGGGTTTTCAGATGTGAGGGTCTGGAACTGCATGCATAAGTGACCATGGGGGACCCAGCTGCCTTAACCACCATGCCACCAGCTCTGGCTCCCTCATCTTCTCTTTACGTCTCTTAGACCTCGGACCACTGGGTATAGTCAGTCTTCAAGTCTTCCACTTCCCCTTCTATGTGCATTTATAAACATATATCCACTTCTCAAATTTAAGAGAAAATAAAACTTCTAACTTACTGAGACAAAAAACAATATCTACAGTTCAGTTCTTCCAGTTGTTTCAGCATCTTTCTCTTCTTCACTGATCACATTTTTGCAAGGTTTTTTTTTTTTTTTCCTCACTTCATTTTTTGTCTTCAGGATAGAAAATGAGCACACTCTAATCCATCCTCCTCTAGAGTCACCAGGAACTGATAGGTCTCCAAATCTCACAAGTTCCTTGCAGCACCATTCAGTACCATTTCTCTCTTTTAAAACACTCCCTTCCTTTGGTGTCTGTAGCTCCTCCTCATGGTTGTGCTGTCCTTCCTCTTTTTCCTGATATCTGTTCAGTCAGAGCCAACAATTTTTCAGAACTCTCAAACTTCAACATATCTAGAAGTAAATCAGTCACACCTCCCGACCAAACAGCATGGAGAATACTGTTCCTTGTGTTCTCTGCCTTATCAAACTATGCTTCTATCCATCAACTTTTCCAAAGTAGAAATATGAGGGTCATCCCCAATAGTACACTATTTTTTCCCTGTATCCCCAAATTATGTTGAATCTAAATTTGAACTATTTCTCAACCCGATCTACTTACCCTTTAGCCAGCACTTCTTACTTTATTACAACAGCCTGCAGGATGCTCTCCC